CTAGTTTTCATGTCCTGCTCCACCATGGGTGAAGTTCTGCTACTCTGCCATTTACCCAAGGACGGAAATGGAATTAGTCAGCCACCTGGCCTTACACAGCTCAGTCTACAGGTTTTAGCCCAGGGTCATCATGAGCCTTTTCCCAGCACTAGGTTTCACCACAACAGACTTAGTACTTGGTTTTCAGGGAGAAGACAGTCAGCATCTCATATGGGAATTCTTCTGCCTAGAGGAATCTAAGCCCCAAATGGCCACTCTAAATCTTAATATCTCAAGTAATTAACAAATAATAAAACACAAATACTCAGAAATATATTTACAAAGGTGAAGCCCCTGATAGATCTAGCCCACATGGGTTCTTGAACTAAACAAAAACAAAATGGCTCCTGTGGTTTATTTAAGGTGATACACCAAAGGTAAGGTTTCAAGGGTGGAGTCTTGCTTTGTGATATGTTGTAGTCAGCAGATTGAATGACATCTTGGAAGGTCACACCCATCTCAGGTGCTGTGTGGGATCTTAGGCAGAGCTTGAGATGGAGGTTTACCTGTATCAAGCGATCAATCCCTGAGGGGTTACTACAGGGAGTTCACAATGCCAGACCTAACCCCTCATTAGGCTACTATGTGCAACATAGTCCACACACAGCCCATGACGGCCAAGACACTAGGTTTAATGTCTAAAGCTTGTATATCTCTCCCTCGTTAAAGTAGAAGGCATCTTGTTTCTTGAAGGGCTGCGTAGCCTTGGGGGAAGTTTGACACAACCCACTCTTTCCTTCCTGCCTTCTTCAGTACATGTTTTCATTTTGTTATACTGGAAGAAGGCACTGTGGTCTCTCAACTGATTTCCTTAGTTCTTCTGAAGAAGTGGTTTGGTGCATAAACCGCTGGTCAACTTTTTGGGTTTATGGGAAGACAATCACAAGAGGACCTTAGTTGCCATCGTGTTCTGCCATATAATTCTTAAGGTTTCTTGAAGCTGAAGTCTCCACCCACACATCTTTTGTGCTCAGTGATCACCGTTCCCCAAACTTGCAAACAGGAGGCTTTCCCTGAAAATATTAAACTAGGAATGTTCCCGACCTTAGACACCAAACCCAAAAGAGAGCATAGTGAGGCATCAGATGGGGACAAAAAAAACAGCATCAGAAGTTAAAGCAGGTGCACTTTAGTTATTATCCCACATCCCTGGTGAGAGATTAGATAGTCTCTCTGAAAAGACTGAAGTGCTCCAGAAAATATTTGGGATGTTATAATTAAAAATACATCTCAGTTCACTTATATGTCTGTTGATGCACTTGGGGCTTCAAATCCATATTATAATGCTCTTAAGTGGACAGCCAAGGATCAGCAAACACTTGAGAAAATCCACCAATAACTAAACATCAAGAACAACTGAACAAGACAGAGGAAAAAGACACAAGACAAATGGGAATGAGCGTTAAAACATATAATTGTTCAGAGGAAAAAGACACAAGACAAATGGGAATGAGCGTTAAAACATATAATTAATATGGTTAGAAAAATCAGAAACGATTATATTCATGAAATAAGAAACAGAAAACAATCAATAAACCAAAAAATATGCAGAGATCTAAGGACTATGATAGCTAAACATGTACTGGTTTAATGGATGGCTCAAAAGACAAAATCAAGAAATCTCCAAAAAATTAGAGCATAAGAAATAGTTGTAATAGAGATAGAAGACAGAGGAGAAATTAAAATTTGAGATTTAATTCTGGAAATCAAATATCCAACCCAAAGGAGTTCCAAAAAAGGACTGCACAGAAAAAAAATAAAAGGCATAACACTCTAAAAGGAATAAATCAACAGAATTTTACAAAACTGAAGGATATAAGCTGAGTCTCAAATTAAAATGCCCACTGAGTATCCACCAGAATTAATGAAGAAAGTGTAAATAGCAAAAAAGAGAAGACATCAAACCTTTAGGAGAGATGAATCAGGTTTCACGAAAAGGATCTGGAGTCACAATGGAACTAGACTTCTTAGTTCCAGCTTCATCGGTATACATCAGAAGTCTGGTTGCCATCATCAACAATTGGAAGTGAGTGGCAACCTCATTTCTGAATTAAAGAATAAGGGAAAGGCCCAAACATGTACAGGAAGTTACATTGTTATGGGTCTGAGCTGTCTATAGAACACAGAAAAGGAAAGTAGTAAAGTTTTAAGTAAATTAAAATTCAACATATGTCCCTGATCTTAATTCAGTCCTAGCTTAGCTGCTCTGAGGTTTCCTCATTTACCCACCTCCACCTCCTTCGTTCTGTCTTGGAGTCAAATAACATTTAAAAGTAAAGTCTTAGAAATAATTCCCATATATTCTTTAATTTATAACTCTCCTCCTCAATGATTTTAAAGGGTCATTGAAAGGAGAGAAAGAAGGAATTGGAAGTAGATTGAGAAAGTAGGGAAATCATAGTATTTATTGAATGTTCAAAATTGCCACACAAGAGCCATTGTTAGTACACAGGGATTTATTTCTCTTTGGCACCTTACCTCCAAACCATTTTTTTCTCTACTTAATATAGAGGTCATTCAGAAGCAAGCTGGGACAAAGACTATTAAAACCAGCATTTTTTGACTAACAACACCTAGTATAGTACTTGGCATAGCAAATAATCACCCTGCTCTTCCCTGCTTTTACTATCTTAGCAGTTCCTTCAGAATCTGTGTGGGGAAATAAATGCAATAAATGTATTGCTTGGTTTATTTTTTAGAATTGGTAGCTGAAATAGTTGGCAAAGAATTTTTAAAGAGTGCAAATTGAAATCCTTGTCATCTTATTCTTCAACACTAGGGGAAAAAAATACCTTGAATGCAGTTTGTACTTTTCCCAAAACTCTCACGTGAGCTATTAATAGGTGACAAGTAAAAGTGTTTTGATTCACCTGCTAATGAGCTGAGAGATGGTCTGAAGAACAAAGAGAAAAATCAAAACCTTATGGTATTCATTTTAGATGAAAGAAAAAAAGCTTCAGTCAATTCAGAAAAATAATATCCAAGTGAAATTAACCCTTCATATTGTTGAAACAGAGCAGTGAGAGTAGCAACAGGCCAGGAACAGCATAAACAAATACCGGGAAAGTTACTTTGAGAATTCATTTACTTCATTCTTAACACTGCCATCAAACCTAAGAGGGTCATTAGAGAAACCTTCTGCATTACTCCACTTTAGCAATCACAGTCTGTATGTAGTATAAAGAGAAATTACTCATGTGCTCCTCCCACTCAGCAGTTTATTGTTACAGTAAACATGACAGCAGAGCATGGCATTGCAGGTTAGTTTATATGGGTCTGACTAGACTGTAGAAAAAAGAAGGGTAAGACAATTAGAATAGAATTTATAAAAGTGTGTTACTGAACTTTGAGCACACAGTAGATGGTCAGCATTTTTAAATTGACAGAGAAATTATTTCTTTAGCTAATCTAACCTAAAAACCACCCAAATCAATATACATAATTACAAAATTTAAATGAAGCCTGCAGATTTCAGGTTGTCTTCATTCGTGGTAAAAATAGCCCCCGTTAAACCAACTGTCCTATGAATCAGTTCAAAATGATTCAACTAATGAATGTTTACCTACTGGGGTGCTTTGCCTAGTATTTACCACGATGTCCATAGAAAGCCATGAACTGACTAGCAGTTTAGAATAAGACTGCTTATTCTAGTGCAGACTAATAAATTCTGACTATTTCACTTTGAAAATAAAGAACCCCTCAGCCCATGATAGTTAAATCAAGCCTCGGGATGATATGGGATCAAACTCTGCATGAAAATAATTTTTAAAAGATGTATATGCATTATAACTTGTGGCACATATTTGCTAATTTTGTTTTGTGATTTTAGGTCCATTAGTGATTCACATCACTTAAATGAAAGAATTAAAGGTACACGTGAGCTGGATATGCTAGTTTAAGATCCTCATTCTTCAGGCTGAGAAAAAGAGCTGGAAACAATTTAATATTAAGAAGGGCTTATGAAAGATTAGAACTTAACCTGCTGGCTCCCCTTTATCACTCACGTCTTGTCTTTTTAGTATTTAAGTCGTTAACAAAAGAGATAAAGGACATCAAGTTGTGCATTCTTTACTGCCAATTATGGATTAATCAATAGAGTCCCAACTGAACATTAGCATAAATGAACATATTTCGTTTTATCTACCTAAAATGGCTAAAACCAAAAGCAATTACTTCAAATTTGACTATGCATAGTATCCATACAGGAAGAAAAACTGGACTGTGTAAACGAAAATTGCATTATGGTGAATTTCACTACTAGTATTAAAATCCTCTAAGAAAAAAAACATTCTCTATCCTTAAACTATGATTGTTAGAAATCCTTTCTAAAAATACTTTGAAAGGGGTGTCTTTCTTCTCTTTGCAGCAGTGCGGTTTGATTATTATTTTTTTTTTAATTTGACGTTTTCCAAAATGACTTTTCCACAACAGCAGAACCGTGCAGAGCACAGAAAAGTTTGAGAGACAAAGAGGGGGTGAGCGGGGCGTGGGGAGGGACTGAGATTCAAAGAAGTATAAGGAAAACAGGGGGCTACTCGGCCCCCTCCCCGCGACCGCCAGCACCCCTGGCCTCCACAGTCCTTCCGCGCCAGTGCCTCCGCCAGCAGACTGGTTCCAGGGCTGAGTGCTCCGCCGCCTGTCATCCCAGGCCCGCGCGGAGCTGTGATTGGACGCGCCGCCGCCAGGCACCCGCCAGAAACACACACGCGCTGGAAAGAGGAAGGGGGCGTTCTTGCGAGTGGAGGGCTTTGGCTTTTTCTCGTCTCCCACCTCCTCTCCGCACTCCATGCCGGGTCTCTTGCTCCAGCTCGTCACGGCTCGCTCTCGTGGCGGGAGAGTTGGAGCAAACCTCGCCGCCGCCGCCTCCTGCCCGCCAGTGCCTATCCGCCTTCAGCGCCCTCCGCTTGAGCCATGGGGCCAACTCCAGGCTCCTAAGAGTTTTGGGGATCTTGGCTGCTCGTTCACCAGCCAAAGAACCCGCCGGCTGGCTATGGCTTAGGGCGCAAGAGGGGTCAGCCTAGAGGTTACGGAAAGGGGAAAGGGCGGCTAACTGAGTAAAAGAGAACCCCGAAGAAAAACCAAACGATGAGTTTCCACAAAGAGGACGGAGTAAGCAGCCTGTGCCAGAAGGCGCTGCACATCGTCACCGAGCTGTGCTTCGCAGGCCAGGTGGAGTGGGAGAAGTGCTCGGGCATCTTTCCCCCTGACAGGGGCAGCCAGAGCGGAGGCAGCACAGGTAACCGGGGCTCTCTGGTGTTCGCTCTGCTGGGACCCCGCGCGCTCGCTCTAAGCTCCCGGGTGCTGATACTCGTGAGCCGTGCCCGGGGCATCTTTAGGGCGCAGCGCCTTCCTACCTCTGTCCTTCCTTTGACTCAGCCGCTGGCGACCTCGAGCGTGGGGTGTTCGGGTTGGGTTTCCACCTGTCTACCAGCCGGGCTTCTGCTCTGCTTCCTGCCTGCCGGCTTCTTTTGCTCTTGGAGCCTGCACCCGGTCTCTCTGCGCTCTCCCACGCCTCTGGTCTACCTCCTGGAGTGAAAGAGGCTACGCGGGTGGAGACGCCCGGGACCGCTTGCGGCGCGACTGCTTGCGGGGGCGATTCGCCTGCGGGACTCTGGTTGCCCTAGCTTGTCCTGCGTGTCGCGGGTCACCGGCTCCGCGAAGGAGCCAGGCGCGAGAATCTATGCTTGAACGCAAAGTATCTCCTGCACAGGGTGCTGCCTTGACCTTCAGGAACAGAAAGAGTCCCCATCGGGTTAACTTTCGGCAGCAACCTGTGGAGTACTTACTTGAGAGCTTTCAAAACCCTCAGCATGTATGATTTTTTCTAATGAAAAGGGAAAAGGCTATAAGTCTTTTCCACACATACTTTCACACCCGTCCCTGACACCCTAACATATAGCATCATTCCTATACCTTCGGGAAACTTGGGTGGTGGGATGGAGAACATCCACCATCAGAAATCTGGAGATGAAAAGAAGTTTCAGGTGACAGATTTTTTTTTTTTCTCAAGGCTTAAGGGAAGGAGGCGAATCAGAGCTACCTTTAGTTACTCCTGGGGGAAAAGGTTTTGATTACCCGCGCAATAGTGGGGGAGGGGGACATGGGCAAATGTCCCTCACTTGTTGTATTGGGAAACAAAACACCTGTGCTGAATTTTTCAGCATTTGACTAGAAGGTTGCCTTTCCTTCTGCAGGATCTCATTTTTTTTTTCCCTTTGCTTTCTCAGATCATTTTTGGTCTCTGGTGTGGGGTTTCATGGGTTAAGTGTAGCCAGGGCAACAGGTGAGAGCTGGATGGACAAGCTCTGCGCAGAGCAGGGCAGTAGAGAACCCAGCGTGAAAAGGACTGCACATGAGTGCTTCCCACACCACCCACCTCAAAGCAGTCCAAGACAAAGGAAGGGGAAAGATGGGAATTGATTTGGTTTGGATTTACATACCATGTTTTTGGTGGCATATCTGCAGGGGTTTTCGTGTTCTCTCCTTATGGCAACAGGAGCCAAGAGGGGCTTCTGTCTTCGCTTTGGCAATACGTGAGATACTGCTGCTTAGACCCTGGAACACAATGATACACAATTGCTGCTGTCAACCTACTGGAAACTTAGATATTTGAGGAATATATAAATACAGCTGAGTCTTTTCTATTTGCTAAATTCTATTTTCTATTAAATTCCTGTAAGTGAATGAAATTCAATTAACACTGTAAGGGAATGAACATCATGCATCATGTATATTTGTGTCCTGTGTATGATCTCTAAGCAGGAGGTAAAGAAATAGTATAACCTTAGAGTCCACTGTGATGATACTGGGTCAAATCTTCTGAAATGTCTTTTAGTGATACATAGGATTAAGTTAAGACTCTGAGAATAGGGTACAGTGGAGGAAATGAGAGTATTTAAGTTTAAGGCCCCATGTTTTGGACATTTAGTATTTGATAATCTAAATAAAACTACTGATTATTACCCTCTCCTACCCCTTTGTAATCACACACTAAATAGTGGTTTCCTGGGACTTCTTGGCTGGTAATGTGGTAAATGTGTGAAGGTTGAAAACCAAATACAGTACTGCCTTCTAAATCTTTCCACTCTATACAACTATATAAGTTTAAGGCAAAACACACTATATGAATTATAAAACGGTTTTCTGAGTTTTTTCCTAAGCAGTATAAGAAGGTGTGTAGTCCTAATTTCTTTTGGATTTTACCTTGGGAACAAAAAATGTAGAAAAATTAGTCTAAATTGTGTGAATATTTTTTCTCACCTTAAAGGAAAAACATAAGTAGGTTATTGAATTTAGTATGTGAACATATATATTAAGTGGCTGTTACTAGATATATTTTGCTAGGTGATATATGAAACAAAGGTAAACAAGATTGGGCTGCCTTTTCCATTTGCAAATTTATGCAACAGTTGTAAGTAAACTAATTTGCAAATAGACTTCCAATATGAATAGGTATCTATGAAGTAGATACAATGATATTTACTAAATGTTTAATAACATTCATTAGCTACACAGCTACAAAGTATTCTGTAAAGTAGATTTTCTTATAATTAGTGCACTTGTGCCCTTTATTTTAAGTCCCTAAATAAAAGTACTTCCATAGTTGATCCTTCTGCTCATTGTTTAATGAGAAATCTTTGTTGGTAGGAGGACATCAATGGAATTTAATGGTGCAGTGATTATTTACTTTGAAAGTAATTAGAAACAGAAGGAAGGAGAGTCGGGTAATTCCAGTTAAAGTTTATTTCCACTATTATTAAAGGAGTTAAGAATCATATATATTTATGAGCTATTTTCCTACTTTTTCTAAAATGCCAAAAAAAGAGCAAGCATCACCATCTTTACCACAACATTGGCAAGAGAAGCAGCAGTAGTGTTATTGCCATTTAGGACCCCTTCCAACCAAGTTTATCAGTCTCATATTTTAATAAAATTTGTGACCAGTTAGATTATAGCTTTCAATATTAATTAATCTACTGTTTTAGAATAGTTGAGATAAAAACCATTAAATGGATCTACATTACTAGCATACCAGAACATTCATCATGTGCAATTTTTGGACAATTAGGTTTGGGGGGATTTTTTTAACCACTGATTCTCCCTCTCCCCCAAATAGATGTTACCCACTAAATTCATTTTATTGCACAATATGATAAATATTAGAATGCCTAGAAAAATACAAAACAATATGTTGTTCTCAATTTTTATTTTTCAGATAAACTAACTGAATATACATGATCATTTTTTAACTGGATTTAAGTTCATTTCAGGTCAGTTTTTACTGCAGAAGTGTCTATCAGATTCAATAAAACCATGTTGCTTGAAAGACAGGCCTCATAAAATAGCAGCTAATCAAACCCACTGAAGTTCACGTTCACACATAATAGTTGCATAGACCTACACTTAATACAAATATTTGAATAAGCACTTAATTCATCAGTGTTTCAATTTTGCATTTTTATACTATTTTAATTTGGGACTAAAGATCCTGAAGCAAAACTTTAGACAAATTCTTATAAGTTCATACATGTATTCTTCGTTTTCTTATAGGTGGGGATAATGAGAAGGTACATATCAATGAAATTTACTGAAGCACTTCATTATTAAAAAAATAAGAGAGATAACTAAGTACAGTTTTCAAAATTACACCATGATTTTTCTCTGAGACCATAATTAGGGCTTAAAATGAGTGGTGGGACTCAGTAGGTTTACTCAACAGACACAAAACAAAAAACTATTTAGTTAAGTTATCATTTTTGGATCACAGTAACTCTAGGTTTTGCACATCCCCCTGACTGTCTTAAGAATTACAGTTTAGAAACATTTATCAGTGGAAAATTTCCCTTGAGACTTGTAGGTCTGGAAAGAAAAAAAAATTGAAGCTCAATATACTCATGTGAAAAGGGATGCATGAAAACATCGTTTTTCCTTCCTCAACATCATCACTCCACTGGAAAATGGCCAATTTTTACTATTACTTGTCTCATTGTCACATGATTATTAATGCACATTGCTCTTGGTCTCAGTTTACTCCAAAAACAAATGGAAGACTATCTTCAAAGGCCCAGCAGGTTATAGCAAACAACCATTTTCCCTTAATTCTGGGATATCTGGCAATATTGAAGGGATTTTTCTTTTTGCATTTTATTCTTGTAATAAACTAAGATATGTATTTCTTCTTTTGCTGAGTTAGGCATCTCTGAAATCTAATTGTTATGCTAGCGATTTTATATAGTTGTCCATTTCATTTAAATCACATTTTCTTTATATCTTAATCTTCAATGTAATTTTGTTTTTATGAAAAAAAAAGTTGATCATTTTTGGGAGTACATCTACATTCGTTTATAAGGTTTTTTTTACAAAATTTTGGAAGAAGACAAACAGTACCATAAATTTTAATGGAATTTCTAATGCTAATTAAAATTATCTCTATTTTTGAAAGTTTAGATTCTTCCTGATCTAAATTTATTCTACTAATGATATGCACTTTTAAGTAACTAGAATGTAAGTTTTTTTTTGAGGGCAAGGGTTTGCTTATTCTTTAATCTGTAGTGATCTATGGTACATCCTAGAAGTTCAATAAATATTTGTCGAATGAATAAAATAAAATCCTATTTGTAAACGAATAAGTTCTATTTAATAATTTTCAATTACCCTGTGAAATTAAGTTAGGTATACCTGTATCTTTGTGTCTCCAGTGTCTAATACAATATCATATAGATAAGTCTACAAAATATTTTGTCCATGAAAATGGCAGGAAACAGAGCACTTGACCCAGTTAAAAGTTAGAATGTAATGAGAAACATACTCATGAAAAAGCAAATGAAAACAAAATGGATGTCCATTTATTTCTCCAGAGTGTGTTCAGTTACAACTGTGAGTCCATAGCTAAACTTGTAAGTGCACAATAAATCGACTCAGTTTACTGAAGTTCTAGGAAAGTGGGAATATCTGTTTAATCTAGATGCTCCTTGACTTATAATGGGGTTATGTCCTGATGAACCCATCATAAATTGAAAATGTAAGTCTAATATATATTTAGTACCTAACCCACTGAACATTACAGCTTACTGTACCTATCTTAAATGTGCTCAGATCATGTACTTCAGCTTATAGCTGGGCATCACAAGAGAGTATTGCAGCACATATTGCTAGCATGGGAAAAGATCAGAATCCAAATTCTAAGTATGGTTTCTACCGTATTTGCACCACAGGAGAGTCATAACTCAGGGCCAT